CTTAAGAGAAGCGATGACAATCCTTTCATTGATAGGAAACGTAATATTAGTCTGTAAAAAGCAATTTGTCCTGTTCTAGTATTTGAAATTTAATTGTATCAGCTGATGTGATTAATCGCAAATATGTTCTTAAAATTCCAACATAATTTTTACTCAAAGGGTTTATAGATGTTGGAAGAAGGAACAATAGATGTACAGAGTCGTAAAACAACAACCTGATGACAAACAGGTAAACAACAGTCACCCAAACAAAACACAAATATATAGTAAAATTGGACGACTTGGAAGGATAAGCAGGTCATCCTTCTCTAGTAGCAAAAGCATGTTCCACTTATCATGCTAACTACTGTAAGCTGAAAATAAACGATACAAATGCTTCATTAAAACATTTACGTCATACCGATAACCTTTATAATCCAATATCTACAAGAAGAAAGTTTGACTAAGTATTTGTATAACAAAACACTAATCAGAGATAACAGGCTTGTAATTATATGCGCACCAGCCCCCACCCTCCAAATCGCACATTCCGTTTACAAAAGACTCATCAGTCACGCTCGAATCAAACCATTAAAAAGGCCAAAACAAGTATAACAAATAGTTATAAATGATTTAAGAGATAAGACGTAAACGTTAGTGAAAACGCAAATCACCAAATATGTGAGCTTAAATTATTAAAATTTATTTTAAGGTTCAGATCCAAAATCAAATGACTTCGATCTAACATTGATGGTTTGTCTTCTTCGAAACCTGTCAAAAGTACCTATTCGGGACAAGCTACCCCAACCATCAGACATGACTGAAGGAGCGGCTGTATCTAGGATAAAGTATTACAGGAATCAAATTGCTCATTCTGAATCCGGTGCAATGTCTGACGCAGACTTCAGTACAACTTTTGTTGAAGTGTCTAAGGTAAACCACCCCAAAGAAAACAAATAATAAAACAAAGAGGAGTCTGGATTAAGGTTATTCATTTGAGACATACTTCATAGAGGAGCTTCATAGAAAGAATTAAAAGAAGCTAGCATTATCCTTTAACTTCACGTTCCGTTGGAGATGCCGTCCTTTCACTAAATAATTTCTAGTTTTGATGACTACATTGATCGCATTTATCTCATCGAACATAAAACAAAGGGTACCACAGATACATTTAACTCTGCTTTATATCTTGACTAACATCTAGAAAATGACACTGAAAGTCGGTTTAGAATACTATTTTACGAAAAGAGAGATGATTTCAGCTTTCCAATTGTGAACTTTCAATGTCTATATTGCAAGATCCCATCATCGCTAATGCTGATATATACATGTTAAATGCAGATTACTTTTATAAAAAGTTTAGACCAATATCATAACATTCATAATATAATGCTTTATGTCTCCTATAGATACTAACAAATTAACTGTTTAATATGGAAATAAAAGTCAATTTTTTCAGGCTATAGAAATTCTGTGTCCAACTATGAAATCAGAGTGCAATACATTGCAACATGCTGATCTAGATCAATCATTCCATGAAATTTATGTAGAGTTTGTTAAAAAAGAAAAGCATATGGAAGAACTTACTTTTCAAGTTGAAACCCTGAACTTGGAAAGACAGAATATGCAATGTAACTTTTCAAAGAGATCGATAACATGAATCAAAAAAGGCATGTAATATATGTTACTGTGTATCTGTTCGACAAGGATACAACATATTTTATTAAGATATACCATAATACATTCATATATATCATAGAATAGAATAAATAATAGAAACGTGGACTGTGTCAAAGAGACAAGAACCCGGCCAAAAAGCAGAAAACAACCCACGGCCACCAATGGGTCTTCAACGCAGGAGAAAATCATATACACATTGAAAGTATAAAATATTTATCAATTGCAAAATAATACATATTCTCGGGTAGCGACAGTTTATATGCGAAAAACTGCAAATTGTCTTTAAAGCATCTATGGGTCACGTTGTCAATCTGAAATTCAATATGCAGCAGTCCTGGATTTTACTATACTCCTGATTAAGATTATAGCACTGAACACATCTTTGTAGACTTTCCGCTTAATGTGAAGACATGGAAAACACGCTTTTAATTACAGTTTTTAATATCGCTCATGACTAACAAGACATATCCAAACACCCAATATCTTCTTTTTCTTTAATTAAACATGGTTTTTTGCTTCAGTTTTGAATATCGGTACTAAATTATTTTTTCAAACATACTTTTCTAAGATTCTTTTGATGCTAAATTCGAACTCAAGTTCATACTCCCTCAATTAGCTAATCTGTGTAGGTCCTTTTTGGTCATATAGTTCATCAAGTATTCTAGTATCTATACATCATAATTGTGGTTTATCAAGAAAAGCATTCCGGTCGTACCAAATTTATAAATTGAATGTTCATTGTACATGTTCTAAACATATGAAGAACTCAATAATTTTCTTTTTTTCTTTTTTTTTTTTGGTTGGTTCCCTTATAAACAAATATGCTATGTATCATTTAATTTATTTTTGTACATGTCCATTCAGTTGAAAAATTGGACGTCACACTAAACTCCGAAACATATAAATGGACCAAAATAAAAAAAAAAAAAAAAACAAGACTAATAACGGCCTAAGGATTCCTGACTTAGGATCAGCGCAAAAATGCGATGGGTAAACATCTTTTGTGAGACCTTTAGCCAATGTGGAATAAACAAACACACAGTAACAGATGTATATGTCTAACAGAAGGACCAAATAATCCAATGGCTATGGTTGTCGTTCTAAATAAGGCAGTTGATTTTCTCCATTGAATTATTTACATTCTGTCATATAGGGAAGCTTGCTTGTACGGTAACCTGTAAATGTACAAATGTCAGTCCTTTTGTCGTTATTAATAGTTTTTTCATTGCATTTGCAAACATTCCACATCTCTTTTTTTCTATATTATATGTATTCTCACAATTTAAGTGTTTTTAAAAATATTTTTTTCTTATCAAATAAAAATATATTCCTTTCGATAAAAAGATAATATCACGGGAGACATCGAAAATAATAAGTCCTGTTAAAGGAGACAACACCATGGCCACAAAAACGACAAAAGGACAAACAGCATTCGCCACATGTTTATCTCGCTGAACTTGTAGAATAGTTCTATTTTGAGTGCAAAAAAGTTCTAATGTTCCTTTTAGATTCAAAATTATTCTTTCAGGTGATGTTAATACTTTATACTTCACTATTGCTCGATATTAGGATATTAATGAAATATTGACTTGTGTTAAACAGGAACATAGGGAAAGATTTGAGAGAATTTGCTAGTCAGAGGTTTTTAGAAAAAAAAATAATCAATGATATTTAAATGGTTGATAAATCGTATAATCTGTGCTAGAACTTTGTAAGACAGATGTTGATAATATCAGGTTTTAATTTATTTTAATGTATCGTTTCCTTCGTTTGTCATTGAAAATTGTCAAGGATTGTAACGTTAATCTTTGGTTAAATATGAATTGTTTAACCTTGTTATTTTAAATGTAGATTCTTTGTAGTAAAATAATCACGGATTTTTTCTACAATTGTTATTGTTTTGTCATGTTTTCAGCAACTACTTTGTATTTCAAAATAAAGTAATATTATTGAGAACAGCAAATTACTATCATATTCTAAGTCTAATATTTAACTCCTTTATTGCAGCTATTCAAACAGAAGAAATCGCAGAATGGAAATTCAAATTAGAGACGTTCTATGTGACTGAAGCTGCTGCCAGATTAATTGAAGTGATAAAAGACAATCAATGTACTATTATAACAGGAATACCCGGATCTGGCAAATCTTGTCTGGCTTATTATGTTGCCATGCACATGCAAGATACAGAAGACTACACAGTTTTGCCAGTTATGTTGCCATCAGAATTACTAAAAATTTCAAATTCTAATGCCAAACAACTTTATATTTTTGATGATGTTTTTGGTAAATATTCATTGAATGAATTCAACCTTAACTGCTGGGAAACAGAAACAAGGCGTATTAAGAAGTTATTGAAAAATCAAGATCATAAAGTATTGGTGACATGTAGATCCTATTTATATAATTCAGTCAGCGATTGCTTATCTTCTCTTTCATTTGCACATTTTAACTTGCAATCGGATGAACTAAATTTATCTTTAGCTGAAAGAAAAGAAATCAGCAAGTTGTATCTTACTGATGATGTTGTATGTCACCTGAATGATGAAACGGTTATGACGTACAATTTCTTTCCTTTACTCTGTGTTATGTTTAAAGAAAAGAATATAGGGAATGTTGATTTCTTTCAAAACCCTAATCAGTTTATTAAAAACGAAATTGACAACTTTAAAAATAAAAGAGATTTATCATTTATAGCTCTAGCACTGTTGGTTTTATGTAATAACTCGATCGAAAAAGACGGTCTTCAAATTGGAAAAAATAAATACGATATCATGTTACAAGATTTATTTGATGAACTGGGTTCAATGAAATGTTCAATTAAAACTTCAATATTGTTTCATCTTCAAAATCTCAAAAACATGTATCTTGCAGAAACAGAGTCTACATTCTGTACAAAACATGATAAAATTTTTGACATTATTTCCCATACAGTTGGAAAATTTATAATTCGCTGTATTTTAAGACATGGTGAACCGGATTTCATAAGTAGTAGATTGCAATTAGAATCACTCAGTGAACAATACGATGACTGTACCATAATCATTCCAGATGAATTAGAAAGCTTATACTTTGATCGTATCTCGAGAGACATTGATGAGGGATATCATTGGGATGTATTTGCTAACATTCAGATGAAATTTGAAAATTACAGAAATCTGTTAATGCATCACTTGAAAAAATCAGATGTTCAATTTTCGTCATCAAGAATTAAGGGCACAACTCCATTACATGTCACTGCCGCCAAAGGTTATTATGATATTTCAAAATATATACTTGACAAAAATAGAAAACAGATAAATTCACTTGATGATAAAAATGCATCGCCTTTACACAACGCTTCTATGTATGGGTGTCATGAAATTACACGCTTATTTCTAACCAAAGGTGCTAAAATTGAACAAAAAGACAGTGGTGGATGTACCCCTTTGCTTCAAAGTTGCAATAATGGACATTTAAAAGTAAGTGAAATATTATTAGAAAAAAATGCAAATTTTCATCAATGTGAAAACAATGGCTGGTGTCCGTTGCACTTGGCATCATCTGATGGAAATACTGACCTTATTGAACTTCTAATAAAGCATCAGGCAAATATCAATCAGCAAATGCATAACGGAATGACACCATTATACATAGCTTCAGATGACGGTCATGCATGTGTAGTGAAATTATTACTTAAGTATGCTGCCAAAGTAAATAAGTGTGAAAATAATGGATGGTCTCCATTAAAAATTGCATGCTTTCATGGGTTTAAAGACATAGCTGAATTGTTAATTTGTCATGGTGCACATGTAAACAAAGGTTCACAGAGTGGTTGGTCTCCATTGCATTTGGCATCATCTGATGGATATATTGGCGTGATTGAACTTCTTGTAAAGCATCACGCAAGCGTCAATCAGCAAATGCCTAACGGAATGACACCATTATACTTAGCTTCAGATAACGGTCATGTATGCGTGGTGAAATTATTACTTAAGTATGCCGCCAAAGTAAACAAGTGTGAAAACAATGGATGGTCTCCATTAAAAATTGCTTGCTTTAATGGGTTTAAAAACATAGCTGAATTATTAATTAATCATGGTGCACAGGTAAACGAAAATTCAAAGACTGGAAAAACACCACTTCATACCGTTTGTTTCAAAAATTATTTGAATATAGCTACACTACTAATCCAGCATGGTGCGTCGGTTAACGAAAATGACAAGGATGGAAATACGCCATTAAGTATAGCCTGCGATAAAAAGTTTAATGAAATTTCTGAATTTTTACTTGAAAATGGTGCAGCAATAAATAACCGTGATGAATATGGTCGGACACCTTTACACATAGCTATTATAAATGAAAATACAGATCTGATTAAGATTCTAATCGAACATGATGCAGACGTAAACTTGAATACGAATAATGGAATAAGTCCGATTTATGCAGCTTGTCAGTTAGACAATATAGAAGCAGTAAAGATGCTGATGAGTTATAAAGCTGACGTAAAAAAATGTGATGTATACGGATGTAGTCCTTTACATATTGCTTCTTATTCTAACCACCTGGAAATAGTTTCATATCTGTGTGATGCAGGTACCGCAGTGGTAAATCTTTATGATAAGAAAGGTCAATCGCCTTTACATTTTGCCTGTGAAAAAGGGCATGACGATGTAGTAAAACAACTGGTTGCACATGGAGCTTCTATTAATCATTGCGATTACAGGGGTTTTACTCCGTTACTTTCAGCTTGTTCTAATGGCAATAAAACTATAACAGAACTATTAATCAAAGAGGGTACAGCAATAAACCACCTTGATAGAACTGAACGAACGCCATTATATATAGCTTGTCAAAGCGGCTGTACAGATTTAGTTGAAATGTTACTCGAAAATAAAGCAGAAGTAAACAGGGCAGCTCAAGATGAGTCTAAAGAAGGCTGGACACCTTTGCATGTTTCATCGGCTTCTAGTAATACTGGTATTACTACATTACTGCTTCTGAATAATGCAGCCGTCAACAAAGAAGATAACTATGGACACACCCCAGTATACTACGCTTCGAGAAACAATCATACTGATATCGTTGAGCTTCTTATTAGTCATGGAGCTATCAAGAGCAGAGAATTAAAAAGTCGAAAATTTTGTGTAATTCAATGAACTTGACATAATACAAAACGCAAGTAATTTTTGTGTAGTTTGCTTGTTTAAAACATTTAAAGAACCGGACTTCACGTAATACATTGTAGTTAATCCTAGGCAGCAATTTTGTATTGTATGATAAATAATTTCTGTGAATTTTATAATTTACTTACATTATATATCATAATTGAAGCTTACTCAATATTTATTATAATTTTTGTAATGTGAACTTATAAACTTGTAGAAATATTATTATTATCATTAGTTATTATTATCATTATTATAAGTAGTATTATTATTGCGTATAGATAGTTTAACAGATAGTTTTTTTTTTTTTGTGGTATCAATTTTTCTGAACCGGATGCGCATTTCTATTATTAGGGTCTCTTCAGCGATGCTCGAATTAGATGATAATCAAAAATGGTTTTAAAATAATAAATACAGTCATTATACTTAGAAAACAGTACAACCAAAAAGGTTCACGAATTCAGTCATTAAAAATCATCAGAGATACTTATACGTTACAACCAAGTCTTCTTTTATACGGTATTATACAGTATCGTTTTTTTTGTTTTTTTTTGTGTTCCTGACCAAAATAATATGCTCCAACATAGTTATGAGAAAAACACGACTCAAATCAAAACTACATAAGTTTAACTGAAATCACCCCTGGTTTTTTGTGGGGTTCGTGTTGCTCAGTATTTGATTGCTATGTTGTTTTTAAATATTTTTGTTTGTCTATTCCTTTTTTTTGTCATGGCGTTGTCTGTTTATCATCGACTGAGTTTGAACATCCCTTTAGGTTTTTCTGTCTCTCTTTCGCTGTCACCTTCACGAATAGGATACGATTTATCAATGTCTCAACTAATTAGCAAAATTTTTCACGCTTTTCGATCCGTATTAACTAATAAAGTCGTCTGATTTATAAATAAATCGATTGTATCCTTTCCCGATTATTGTAAACTCCATGTGGAGTTGAAGCGATTCCGTCAGTTTTGATATTTACCTCGACTTATATCTTCCTATTTGATTAATGACATTTGAACAAAGATAATACATTTTTTTCTGAAATAATATGTAACTGCTAGTTAGATTGGATATATCTTCGCTCTATGAGTGGGCTTGATTGCATTCATCGTGGCCGTTTGTTCGGACTTTATATCAGACACCTGGATCTATTTTCAAATACTTAACTTAGTAACTTAATTAGTCAATCTGTAGAAAAAAAAAACTCATCCTAACAAACTTCATCATCAATTCGAACGGTTGATCCTCGATATCAGGTAAAGCGCAAACATCAATTTTTCGGAATCATTCTGACAGACCTAATTACCATTTCTAACGGAGTTATCTCCCCGAAAAAAAAAATACTTTGTTGTGTGTTAAACACAGAGACCTGAGCAGGTAGCATAAAACCAAAAAGGGATAATGTTTTATGGATAAATTGCAATTGTTTATTATATTTTACTCCGCAAGAAATATAAACCGACTCATTCGGTTAGTTGTAGATACATGTCTTCGCCACTTAACCTATTGACCACAATCCTTGACAATAAAAAGATCAATGTAACAGTAACCTTTAGAAATAAGACACTTTTATGAGGGATATCGGTAACAATAATGGCTAAATAAATGGTAAATAGCTAAAAAGTTTGAGACAAAAAGTCACAATTTCCTTTTGTTTTTATCGACCATCCGTCAGACAGAAAATCTCAATTTTCAAGTAATTTCGAAAGTGACTATTACTCAACACGTACGGCTCTGGGCAAAATCGCCGTGCCTTCCAACATAAGAGAGTGTTATCAGATGAGATTGGAAACCGTTATAACTCGTGAAAAAGTAAATGGACGAAAATTGTTGAGACATCAGGTCGCAGATTTATTACGACGACGAAATGGGGTAAGGTTGCCAATTAGACAATGATGTGAACAAGTAAAGGGCACCGTACGGATTTAAACAATCGATAAAAACCCATAGCGTATTATAAACTATAAAATGCCAAGGATGACAAAAAGTATGACATTGAAAAGGAAAAAACAACAATGGCCTTATTTATATCACAACAATAAATAAAGACAATTACTAGTAGTAATAATTGCAGCAAGATGTGTTTACGTATTACCTAAAACGAAGTCCCCTTAGACCCTCATAATTATATCTCTTTAATTCAAGTTGTCATATATAAAAGCTTGGGTCAACAGGTTTCAAAAAGATACGGTTGCTAGGTTATTTCTTTTAAAACATTAAAAGTCTGAAAGTCTTTCAGCAAATTTACCAAAATTAGAATCACGTCCTTTAAAAGTACAAAGGTCCGTGTCAAATTTTTGGTCACACTTGTTACCAAAATATATGGTTGCTATATGCATTTCTTAATCATAATTGTTATGAGAGAGGCTTTCAGAAAATCTACCAAAATTATTATTCTGTCCTTTTGAAGTGAAATTGTTCTGTGTCAAACGGTTTCAACAGTTCTAAAAATATATAAATATTTTCAGAAACTTTACAAATTTAGAATCACATGCTTTAGAAGTTCAATTGTTAGTCTAGTCATAATAGTTTTCAAAATAAATGGTTGCTAGGTATTTTTTTCAGAATTGTTCTTAAAAAAACTCCATAAATTACTTCAAATAAGAATTGCGTTCTCATTAAATTTTTTTTTTTCGTGGCAAAGTTTGAGTCATAATGATTTAAAAAAATAGATACGTTTAATTGCTATATACCGGAGCTGGATTTCACTATATGCAAGCATTTATTAATTATTTTTTACAGCGTTATTCTACCTGTCATTTTATTTTTTTCGTGGTCTCTTCTACTATGTACGGAATAAATTGCAGAGAAAATGCCTTTTTTCTTACCTGTTTTTGAACTGATCGTTCTTTTTTTTTCTTTTGTTTTTTTACAGATTATGATATTAAAAACTGGACAGGGTTCAAAACGTAACAATTACTTGTTGAACCCATTAGCTTAACCCTCATCAAAGATGATAATTTTCATGCTTTGCTGACGATAAGAGGTTTGAATCTTAGGAACCAATCAATAGTTGCCTCACAGACAAGATTTTTATCATGTTCCTAGGACTTGAAAAAGTAAAGAAAATTGACGTAGAGAACTTTATGCATTGGCTTAAACCATGAAAACTCATACGACTTTCACCAACGACATCTGGGTAAAATAACCTCGAAGAACCAGTTGTAATTGTAAGTTTATGACATACTGTCTAACAATTTCGATCATCCAATAAGCAAGTTCATCTTAATTAGTACCCAATAGGACACAACCCTATAGGAGTCATATCAGTCTGGTTCAGGAAGGTTGAACATGTTCATAGGGAACTAGTGTTCATAGCTGTACTTATAAAGTGGATAACACAAATCTTAAATTTTATATTGAATTTCTTTTGAAACACCATAAAAAATGTTTGCTCCTTTACTAAAGAGTATAGTCACAAAACCAAATATCTAGCCATGTTTTTCCAAATATCTGTCGTTTAATAGGAGAGTTAATTATATAAAACATATGCGAAATGTAGATTGATATTAAACCTACTTATTCCATATTTTTTTTTATTTGCACCAGAAACTAAATGAAATGAAAGTATAGCAGTTTTTTTTTTTGTATTCTGCGGGGTTTCCTATAACCGATCTAATGAGCCAATCTTTTTCCAACTGGTATTTACAGTTCGTTTCTACTTTTGTGTTGTTACACAACAGACTGAATTTTTCTGGGAGGGAGCGGATAAGCGCTCACAAACATAATAAATACCAACACATGTATGTGCTTTGCAACGCCAGTACTTGTTATCCAGTGGTTGTTGTTTGGTTGTTGCCTGCCATATTTGTGTTTTGTTCATTGTTGTAATGTAGTACAAATCAATTTTTGAAATTTTCACTTTTTGTTATCCTTTTTTATATCTTACCATATTAGTACTGCAACTAGACTTTTTTTTAATTCAATGTACCGGAATAACACATATATATTGCATATCATTTTAAAGATAAAAATGTATACAAAAAGAAAAAAATTGGTCGTAAAAATCCAGTATTGTAATATTTTTGTGAAATTGAGGTCATAGGTCAAACTTGGAATATGTCATAAATTCAAACGTGATACAAATAGATTGAACTTTCTGAGATATATTCAGTCAAATGCTACAAAAATATATAATTTTCACGAGCATATATTGCAAATGATGTCAAAACAAAAGATTTGACTTTTTGTATGAAGAGCCACCATTTCAAAATGGTGTTTATGTTGAGTTTTTTTTCCATTTTTTCCAAAGAAAATGTAAATGTGAACTTGACCTTTTCACATCGATTAGCTTTTACATTGCTTATTGTTTTTTCAGCACAGCATATAACAAAATTATTTTCTCATCAGTAATACACCAGTTTCTAAATATATTTCATTTATTTTTCTACATTTGAAAAAAAATTACACTAAAACCGTATCTTTCCATTCTGTATCCAAAAGATGAATTAACATTGTGTACTTGCAAAGTCGACAAACCGGTTTATAACATAAAGCAGTCAACCGAGGCGAAGGTGAGGATTGACTCGTTTTGTTATACCTATTGGTTCAGTGTAAACCAATATCAGTTTTCTGCCATGAGCTTTCTCTTTTCTTGGAATTATCCTGATGATAATGTGC